GTTTTACTGTAATTCCTGCCCCCACCCTGTGCAGGTGGCTGAAGTAGAAGGATCATAAATTTGAAGCCAGCCTTAGCAACTTAGGAGCCTTAGCAAAAACCTGACTTGAAACAAAAAATAAAAAGGGCTGGCTGGGGGTGTAGCTCAGTGGTACAGCGCCCCTGGTTTCAATCCCCAGTACCAATACATACATACATGCCAGTTACTGGTGCCTGCCTGCATTCCGAGCTACTAAGGGAGGCTGAGGCTGGAGGATCACTTATGCCCAGGGGCTGGAGATCAGCTTGTGCAACATAGGGAGCACCTATCTCAGCAATAACAAAACAATAAATAAGAGAAAGCATTAAAGAAAAAAATTACAAAAAGCTATTTTCAAAGCAGTTGATTTCTAATCTCAAGGGCCCCACATATCTGGGCCTAGACGAAGAAAGAGTAGCCCAGAAGAGGGTCTTCCTGGTTCGAATTAAGCGAGGATCAGCAGATACTTTCCGGTTTGTGGGGTACACACTGCAGAGACCAGGAGCGCTGGTGGGATGGTGGGAAGTCAAGAAAAAGCTCCTGGAGCAGTATGTAACCACAGAGGAAAGAGGAACCAGCCAAGGCCCGCAAACTCCCAACCGGCCCCTCAAAACCTATCAAGGACCAGCCCAATCGGTGGATGGCTCTGGCTTTGCTGTCTGACCCACCTGGCTGAATGATACTGTTTAACTGTGACAAAAGCAAACGCTGACCCTCTCTGCAGCTCACAGGTAAGGCAGCACCTATCCCACAACCTGATGTACCTCCAATGAAACCTAGAAGTGCGCGCACAGCCTGGCTGACCGCCCTTGAATGCTAGGCCTAGGTTACCTGCTTGGGGTAGTTCCCAGGCAGCCTTATTCCAGAGTCTGTGGGCCCTTAAGGACAGAACAGGAATCGCATTTTGAGCCGGGCACCTTACCAACTGGGGGTAAGTCTGGGACTAAGTGGCCTCAGTTTCTCCTCCAAGCAATGTGAACTATCCCGGCGCGGACCCGAGTTCTGGTGCGGGCCCCAGACGCAATCGTCGGGACTGGCATAAGTTCTCCCTTTGTAAGGCCCCACCCCCGGCCAAGAGCACACAGTAGGCGCTCCGGAAATGCTCTCCGAAAGGAGGAGCGGGCCACTTCCTGCCCCTAAGCGGGCTGCGGGAGCCCAGGTCCCACCGCTTCCCTCCCGAGGCCATGTGGCATTCCTGAGGTGGGTGGGCGCAGGAAGAAGGTGCCCTCCGGGCCCGCCCCCTCCGGCGCGGTGGGCGGGGCGGAGCCCCCCGGGCTGCGGGCCCGCCCCGCGGGGGGTGGGCGTAGTTGGTCGCGCTCGGCGCAAAGTTTGTTTGCTGCCTCCGGGCGGTGGGGGAGGGCGAGGCGCGCGCTGAGGGGAGGAGAGGGGATCTGACGTCAGGCCGCGAGGTGCTTTCCAGCCGCGAGC